CTCCAACACACTATTAAAGGAATCTTCCACGGAAAAAGCTCCGCCCTCATTACCACAGAAAACGATACCTTAAAGGAATCTTCCACGGAAAGAGTGATCATTTTGTCTTGTGTGTAGGATTAGTATTATCGAAACTAACGCTTATGTTCCGTTCTTTTTGCTATGCTCATGAGGCTAGGGGCCTAAGGTATCGTTTTTCTGTGGTAATGGCGGAGCTTTTTCCGTGGAAGATTCCTTTAACCTTACCTGTGGTCGCATTCACCCACATCGGTCCACGAGTTTCCTTCCTCCGCCCACATGTCCGTGGACTGTCCATAAATGTTGATGTTCGAAAGTTTGCTTCTTTTCGGTATCTTTAACAATTTCCCTGAGACTTTGTAGGGTGTTTGGTGCATGGTCCTTCTGTGCTACAGAGTCATCACGTAGTTACACGATGGTCTATAAAATTTCTAGAACTTTGAAATCGATCGTTTTGTAGTAATTCGTTTTCCTACAAGAGAATTGTGCGTGTACTCATGACACGAACCAGAGCTACTTTTACGCTACATCGCAAGTTATGCTTGTGGGGCGTTAACATAGCCTAGGGAAGGTGAGGGTAAAGAAGCTTCCTTTTGCGATTTCTCGTGTATTGGTGATGGACACCAAACCAAGGTTTTTCATTTTTGACGCAAATCAGAACTATTTTTCAGCATTTATTCATAATTATGGCAGCAACAAACGAGAAATAAATAATAGAAGCAACATAACCAACTTTGGGAAATATCACCATCGCAAAATACTAATCACAATCTATTCTGTTCTTCTCCAGAGGTTAACTCCCAACCGGTTTCTCCTTTTAGATGCAGCTCCCAGTCATGGAACTCCTTCAGCGATTTCCGATGCCCGGTGGAGATATAGTTTATTCCTTCCTGAAAAAAGGTTCACTGTTATACATAATTCATGCAAGTTAAGGCCAGCAGGCTGTTACGCAATGCATTCGGCTCCCATTCACTGTCAACGGTCCATTGGAATGGGTGACGAATACGGACAGTGATCGAAAGCATCAATGGAATGAGAGATTCTCCGCCAGTGTCAACCGTCACGTTGGACCGTTTTCGAAAATTTCATGACCCCCTCCCCCTCCTCGTTCTGAGACCACTCGACACAGCCCAAACTCCGCCCACTTTTTCCTCCAAAATTACCGTCGAGCGGGGGGGGGGTATACCTACCACGAAACCGCAAACATTCTCCCTTTTCGCCCCTATTTCACCAACATTTCCTAGGGACTTCTAGGAACGGGGAAGCTCATACACCCGTGCGCCAACTAACTGCATCATCACTTCCCTTACTGTAACATTAACACTACCTCGCCAAATACGACCCCCACCCCTCGTTGGGCAAAGTCACGCACGGTTGACCCTGTTCTCCGCTCGTTCGCAAGAAGCGATTCTACCGAGGCAGCTTTAGAGCCATAGGTTTTGGTAAAATTTTCAAGACGAAGTGATCCATCAAACTTTTGCGCAAGTGCCAATGCTTCTAGCCGTTAACCTACATATTTCCGTTGGAGGGTATTTATTACAAAAAGTAAAAATACCTACCTCTTTTAAGAGTGTATATATCGCAGCCTCGGCATCAATAGAAAGGCTACTTGTTGCCTCATCCAGAAACACAAAGGGCGGTCGATGAAACAGTACTCTTGCAATGGACAGTCGCTGCTGTTCACCAGGAGAAAGTGTGTCTTGCCTTAACAAAACATATATACACCTGGTTTAAATTTCTCATATTACTCAGTGTCACGTAAGGCTGGTGTCAGGCTTTGCGAATCGAGCGATTTGATAGCGTTCGCGGTCGCGTTGCGGTACTAGCCAGTAGAGCAGTTCGCGACCGCGGACGCTAGTGAATCGCTTCGCAAAGTCTGACATCGGCCTAAGCCGGCCAAGATTTGTATTACAATTAATCTGAAGCCTGTTACTCACCATTCAAATGTGGCAGGGTCGGTCAAACCACCGCACATTGACACCAGTGTATTCAGTTTCAACGAATGTAAAATATTAAGAATTCTATCGTTCTCTAAAGAAAAAAGATTTCGATCTGATAAACTCTACTTAATCAATTCTCACTGTTTTGGATCTTGTTGTTCACCTCAGTAGAAACCTCTAGAGCTTTTACTATCTTCTTGAAGTTTAGCGCGCACAGGTAAGGAGCTAACACTGTGAGCCGCCCACAAAAGTATTGAGTGGTAACCCATTCTGTATTCCCTCTATCAGGGTGAACCAAACAGTGACTTGCTCCAATATTTGGCTACTTGGTTATGTGTTTGGAGTATTTGGAAATAGCGCGTGGAGCTGCAGGAACAGATAAGGACCGCTTGATAAGGAAAAGCTCATATGGTTCGAAATATTACTTACTAGCTGCAGAACTTTAAAATCGATTGAATCGTCTGGGAAATGGTAAAATCCCAGGTGGTATATGTAGTTTCCAGTCGTGCGATCGAACCGATCGTCCGATTCAGAAGAGTGTGGGGTGGATTTGCATCGACTATGCGATCGCAGGATCCCACGATTGGATGAGTCGGACGGTCGCACGATCGATACGTATTTATTCTACATTCGGTTGTGCGATCGCGAGATTGTGAACTATAACTGCGACTCTACCTAGATCTATGCATGGCATTGAACGCTCTAGTCGTGGGAAAATTATCTGCTGTCGTATAGACAATGACCCAGGTGGAAAATATGGTCGTTGCGGCAAAAACATAGCATTATTGTGAGTGAAATTCCTGACAATCGTGCCTGAAAGAAAAATATCTATCGATAAGTCCTCTTCGAAGTACAGAAACTGAAAATTGAGAGATGTTAAAACTTTACCGGAGCGCGGTTCCCATAATTTCTTGATAACTCTCAGCAGTGACGACTTTCCAACACCGCTGCTGCCAGTTATAAGAAGAGTTTTGTTTTTAGGAACTCGAAGGTTGAGATCTGACAAGTACCATAAATTTACATCAATGGTTACACTCAACACCAGATGGATAAGTGGTTTCAAGTTATCAGGCTCAGAAGAAGGTAAGAAGGTAAGAGTTGGTGAAAAAAAATGACAAAAAGGGTCTTTTGACTTGCTTTTAATTGTTAACTGCTGTTTTTGGCCGCAGTTCGCCTTGCGAATGTTTCACAAGAATGCTGGGTTGTGAACAAAACTTTCGCCCCAGACGGGACTCGAACCCACATCTCTTGCCGTACGAGCGCGCCCAAAACTACGGTACCGGGCCAAAATTTCAACCCAACTTGTTTTCTTGAAAGCTTTGTTCTCAACTCAGTATTCTTGTGAAGCAAAAAGGATATGTTTTGAAATTGAGAAAATGCGGATATTCGGTTAATCTTCGGAAGCAAAGTTCAAGCAAGGGGCGCAGATCGGCACGAGATATTGAAACCGAAAATCGGAACATAAAATCGTTGCCGTTGTTTGTTGACAAGATGCGTTAGAGCGAACCTGCTACAATCACACTGTCGGGATCAGTAGGAACGGAGAAGGATAAGTTTTGAGCCACTAAAAGATCTGAAGATTCTTCGCCATTGCCACAACTCCAGAAGGTTGTTTCTTCTTCATGACCTCTTTTCATGTAGCGAACCAGCTCCGCTATCCTGAAAGGGACCAAGTGATGCCTATTTAATGAAGGATTGCACGATAAGGTCGGAGGCGGAAGAAGGAGAAATATTTTCTGAAAAGGCAGGCAGCCCCTCCCCTTTCCTCAAGGGTGCGGGACGATGCGAAAATTACCCCCAGCAGCGTAGTAAGGCACTATCTGCGGTGCTCGCGCCGCTGCCCCCCCCCCACTCCTTCGCCCTTTGAGTTCGGCTGCTTCAGCAGAGATGGCGTTGGCGTTGATGAAGTCAGCACCAATGACATACAATATCTAACGAGCAAATCAATCATTCTACCTTGGGCAAAAAAGACCGTTGATCACCACTGCGGGCGGAATTCGTGGAAATAACTTGAGAAGAGCGAAACGTAGAGTCACTCTGACACATTCTATTTTTGAGGGTGTCCCCAAGAGGCCCATCGCGCGGCGAAGGAAGAGACGCAGATGCGGCAAAGGACGAGTCGCAGCGCGTGCTGTGCGATATGTACACTCTATTTAACCTGACGCCTAACCGCTACAGTATGCGCTGCGACTCGTCCTTTGCCGCGTCTGCGTCTCTTCCTTCGCCGCGCGATGGGCCTCTTGGGGACACCCTATTCTTGACGCCTCGCTAACGCTATAATCAATTGGAAAAGTTCTTCAACTCCGGGCACTGTTCGAAAATGAAAGTAGCCGCGCTTATTGACCGGCTGAGAGCAGCAAACAAAAAGCACTACAGTTGAACAATGAGAACTGTGAAAGTTGAACAATTCTTTACCCACAAGTCCAGCAACAGTATGTGGAGAGTGTGAGGAGCTTTAGCTGCTCCGTCTGTTTTCACTACTTGCCGGCCAGTGACCGCTTTAATTTTCTACCGCAACAGCGCCACATGGGCCTTTAAAATTGCTATACAATGCTTCAACAGCGCGGGCAGCGGTTTATCACTAGTGGCGGCTCCGCAGAAAAAAAATAGGAAAATCTTCATTCTGGTCTAATTCCAGTTATTTGTTGGTCAAGAAACGTCGGAGTTTCCAGCGTACAATAAATTATGCCATAAAAATACCTTTGAGTGTAGCCCGCCATTTCTCCAATATTCATAGCTAAATCTGTCAGTCGAGTGAAACTGTTGATCAGATAAATGAAGTAAAAGGCGTTCTGAACGGATTCGTTTCTGAGGATTTCTTCAGGGGACCAAATTTCATTTGATTGGAGCTGAAAATGCTCGCATACACAGCAACATCAAAAAGTCAACTCACATTACTGATCTGTTTACTTAGCGCTCCAGGATCCAGATCTTTATAACTGAGGAAAACAAATATTGGGAACGCTTGAATAAGGTAGCTGAGAATAGCGCCATAGTAGTCGAAAAAGTTTTGTAGAACTGCAAAGAAGCAGTTCCGACGTACTGCACCATATCCAGGACAAGACCAGCTTTTAAAAGTAACACTGCTTAGATTGTGGTTGAAAATTACTAGAGTCGGCTAAACCATTGCGCTGGACAAACTTCGGGATAACACGATCTTCATGGCCCCATCTGTTTTCCCAAGTTAGCTCTTCATAATCTCAAGGGGAAAAACTTAATAAAAAAAACGAAAAAAAATGAACCACGGTTCGAGATTTCACAACACGAGATCGAATTCTTGGTGCATGGAAGGTCGCCTCCAAGACGTCTGGGTCCCAGGATGAAAGAGCGGAGGACAGGAGTTGAAACGAAGCAATAGCTGCTGTTCCCTTCTCTCGAGACCCTCCGCCCCAAAACTCGAAAAACAGTTTGGAAATTTTGGAAGAGTTCAAAACCGTGAGTAAAAATCGAGAAAGCCAGCTTCTCAATGGCAAAGTGATGCAGAGGGTGAGAGCTGGAAACAGTATGCTCCACCAACATCTTGATTTTTGTAATGATAAAAGTAGGTTAAATTTGTTACATTGTGCTGGGTACTTCCATAAGGTAGCCGCCAGTTGCCTTTTCAGTAAAAACATAAGGAAGCGGTCACTTTCATTCTTATCGAAATCCGCTGCATTATAGAAAGCAGATTCTTCGGCATTGTTCCGTACGGAGACGTGTTTGTATCTGGAATTGAACCACAACGTTAGTAGCGATAATCCGATAATTTCGTAGCATTGCTGGCGATGCATTTCGCAGCAGTGCGCCTCGATTTGACGATTTTCAACCCTAGTATTGCAACTAAAGACTGTTCAAATAAGGATATGTAACACAAGTAGGGCCGATGGAGCACTTCAGACTGGTAGCCAACGAGTGGAGTCAGGGCCTACATAGGTGCCGCTGTTATCAGAATGACAGAGTTTTTCTTATTATTGAATCGAGAGACACATTCTATGTTTCTACTCTGAAAAAGGTTCTGAATAAAAGGTTAATTTTTCTTTAGTTGCTGACAATACCATAAGGTTGTGACGGTAGTGGAGTTTTGAAGGAAAATCCAAGGTCTAAAACCCATGGGATGGACCACCTTTTTGTCTATTGATCTTACACTCAACGATTTGTTTGGCTGCCTGATATGTATACTCCATCTCCGAAAGCGAGAAAGTGTAGGGTGCAGACAACACACCACAAGTGACGACGGCCAAGACAAGCATGTATTTTCTTCCCTTTTTTCCCGTCGTCACTTGTGGTGTGTAGTCTGTACTCGACGCCCTTTTCGCTTTCCAAAATCGAGTATGTATCAGGTGAAGATATAATATACTGCACTCGCTATCAGTGACTGGTATACTTAGAGTTCAGCGGCATATAAAGGCTGACCTGAAGTCACCTTCCGCTCGTTCTACTCTTGCGGTCCATTTCGTTAACGGTGAAACAAGTAGGCGGTTGATTATGACTCCAATGACGAAGTATACGTAGATTATGGCAACTCCAAATGGCCCAGCTCTGTAAGAAATGCCGAATATAATTCGGTCATTTAGTATTTTCACGCTTTAAATAAAGAAAAAATATCAAACATTGATGCAATTCTTTTTTGGTATGCGCCACGCATTCCATTTTTTCTCAGTAACACAGTAGCATTTGGACACAATTGGGCCCATACAATTAAGTACTTGCCAGTGCCGGCCGTTCTATAATAGAGTGTTTCTTCCTTCCGGACGAGCCTGGTAACAACTGACCAACCTCAAAGGGGTGAAGGCTTGTTAACCTGGGAGAAATCTGACATTCGGATAAGACCTTTCCAGACTGGGAGGGGAAATAAATGACGCTACTTCTCACCACACCACCACCGCCCTATTTTCGAACATGTTTCGATATACCATGATCTACTGGTGTGTCATTATTACTCACAAAAGGTAGTTGGACTGTTACGACTTCATGCATTTGCCCAACAGCTCTGAAATGCCCATTTACTACACTACATACTACCTCCTATGATATGCAGGATGAAGGTTAACAATTCACAACCCGCACGAAATGTCACGGCTCTCCATCTTGAGTTGGTTCGGGACTGCGACGTCACTCCTACTTTGGAGTAAAATAACACATTGACGACAGCGCGCGTCTTGGCTTTTTTGGTCACGTGGGACAAAAGCTGTTTGGTGAGCGCGATCTTTGAGACGCGCAATCGCGTCTCGCTGTCCAACAAGTTGCATTTTCGGAGATGAAAGTAGCAAAACAAGAGTGCCATGAGATTTGGAAGGGACAACCAGTCGGCGACAACTTGTCGAAACATTCTAAATGGTAGAGTGATTATATTAGCTCAAAATAAGATTCCGTACTCCAAGGGGGATATAGGCAGCTTAGAGAACTGGATAGTATGGAGAGTACTTGCAATGATGAAAACTGGAATGTGCTCGCTTGCACAATTTTCCTCAGAGAACGCATTCAAAGTGTACACAGCAACTCTAGCCAGGGTCAACCGTCCGTTCGAACTGTTCGAACGAAGGGGTCGCATTTTGGTCGGAAGGGGGTCGCAATTTCGAGGACTGCCAGCCACAGGCGCGTGCGTGGCGTATCCGAGGGCAAGACTTGCTTTGTGCAGACCGCATTAGATTCGATTATTATGCACAGAGAGACAGTTTTAGGCAAATTACGGTGTTTTCCTTGAGGAATAAAGAACAGTTGAATGCATCCCTATGAAAGGTTTGACTTCTCGGGGCTGAAATTAAAGTTCTTCGGACCTAATTTTCTGGGACGATTCTTCCAGACAACTGTAAAACACATAAGAAAGCAGAAATCTCGTAGTCTTCAAAAATGTCTTCGCCCCTCCCCAACAAGCTTCTTTGAAGGAAGTTATTATTGCTGAAAGCTCAAAAACTCGCATGTGCTGCTCAAAAACCTATGGGAACCAAAATGTTCGAACGTGTGATTTTCTCGGAAAAATGAACTTTGAAAAACGGTTTAGGTGCTTGTTAGAAAGAGCAAATCCTGTACTTTCACCCATGAAAAAAGTGCATCACAGAAATGAAAATGAAGTGAGTTATGGTCGCTGAAAGCCCAAAAACTCGCTTTTGCACGAAAAATGTTCGAACGGGACAATTTTTTGAAAAAGGGGTCAATCACTAAACTTTTTATACTGTTTTGTTAGAGAAATATTTGAAGTTTCTGAAACTTTTTACAGATTTCCAAAATGTCGCATACGAAAGATTTTATGGGCCTTCAAAGTTGAAGGTGCGCCTTCTTAGAATTTTGGGTTTTCCACTTCTAACAGAAGTACTTTCCGGAGAGTTAGGCAATCCTTGTAGTTTTCTGAAAGCGCACCTCAGGCACAATCAAAATCTACCTCAACAAGTCAAAAAAGTACGTCCCAAGAAAGTTATTCCCCTCTAAAATTTTTTCTTCGCCGCGTCCCGTTCTTCCAGCGCCCGGGTGATACCTGCCGCGCTCCAAGGCTGACGCCGCAACGCAGGCGCTTTCTGCGCTTTCTGGCGCAACGGATTCATGTCTAGCACTCTTATTAACAAAAACAGGGGGTCGCAACTGGACCCCCTCGAGAGCTAGGGGGTCGCAAAAATCCCGAAAATGTTCGAACGTGACGGTTGACCCTGCTCTAACCTGCCCCCAACTCTCTGAGCGCCTGAAACAAGCAAGTTGAGCAGTTGTGTTCAAGCACATCAAACCATTTCATGGAAAACGGCGTTCATAGTTAGGTAAATGTATAATCTACAGAGCCAATACAAACGACTTGGAGAGAAGCCGCGCACGTGCAAGGGAAAACGCAACCGCGTCTCAATGTTGTCAATGCGCGAAAAGAACCTGTGAACTGGACGGACCTCACAGGACTTGAGGGGTTTCTGCAAATGGCCCAGCATCTGCTTATTGATGCACTGCAACCTTACCGATAAAATCCATTTATGCCTGTTTTGTGTTCTAGCTAAAGCAAACATCGCATTAAAGGTTTCATTTTGGCTACTGATAGCCTGGATTAAGATATCGACGACGGTGTGACGCCCTCGAGCGTCAAATTTTAATGCGGATGAGATTCGTTTTGCTTTAGCTAGTATATTTCATGTTCCAAAGTTATCCATCGGATCCGCAAGATTGTATATCCATTAGCAGTATTGAAGTTACTGCCACTGGATATACAATCTTGGAGCTAATGGATGCTACTTAAGACTTAAAAAGGCGCTCATCCGTAAGGGGGGGGGGGCATTGTGATGCAACGTCAATGGCTGCCCTCACCCCCACCCCCCTGAACTGGCCTTCACTCCCCCTGGCTCACGGGGTCCCGTACTTCGAGAAACCTGTGCGCCAGGGGGAGTGTAGGCAGTCTA